TGGGGTAGGGAAGTGGTGGGTGGGACGGACAAATCCGGAGGTTTACTGGGGGCTGGCCCATAGCGTGGCGGTGAAGTGCTATGTGTAAGACGCCAGCGCCCACTTGGCTGGCTAGGAGGCAGGCCGGTGTATGTCTGCGTGTGCCCAATGCCCCGATGGGACTGAGAAATGGAGGAAGATGAACTAGAGTGACCAAGACACACCGAGGGGCACTTTCTCTGGTGAGTGCATGCACGCACCGGCGATACATGCTTTCTAAATAAATAAATAAAGGCTCTATTTGGTGCTGTATGGAGATTACCCAGAGTGGGGCAAGTTAAAGGGCTCCAATACGGGACCAGCGGGTAGTGTGGTGGTTTAGGTGCTGGACTCCCACACGGCTGGTTCTGGTCCGAGTCCTGGACCTGGTGGCTCACTTTCTCACTCTCCTTCTCTCTCTCTCTCTCGTCAAATTGAAGAATAATAAATAAAATTGAATAAATAATTCTTAAAAAAAAGAAGTACGCCAAAAGGGGCAATTGTGGTTCAAGTCATGGACCTGGTGGCTTGAAACTCACGCTGGACATGTGGGCACGCACGCCCACAACCCTGAGAATGGAGGAGAAGGGATTGTGGCATGGCCCATCCCCCTTGGGGGCTGATTTCTTGCTTTCTGTTTCTCCAGCAAGCACACATGCCCTATAGCAAAAATTAATTAATTAATTAATTAAAAGGACACCAACAATATTTATTTTAGAAATAAATCTCCAAGGAGACCAGCAGTTGGCATAATGGCTATGTTGCTGGACTCCCATGTAGTCAACTGCAGTTCGCGTCCCAGACCCGGTGCCTTAAACTCACACTGGGCGCGTGTGCGTGCGTGCCCAAGATCCCGAGATAATGGAGAAGGGATTGCGGCATGGCCATCTCCCCTGGGGGGTGATTTCTCACTTTCTGTCTCTCTATCTCTCTCTCCTAATCAAGTCAGCTGAGTCTTTTGGAGGCTTCAAACATTTTCCCAGAAATTTTAGACTTAGATAACAAATATTTAGATATTTGTTAAAATATCATACACATGCACACACACACATAATAAAACTTGAAATATTAGTTTAACATAGTATATTGATATTGTCCCCCAGGCTCCTGCAAGTGATTATTGGCTAAATGTAAGTAAATGTCATAGGTGACAGGTTATTTCCATGTGCATTGACTCCTCTCTGTCTCCACATGTAGGTGGGGTGTAGACATGTGAGTTCTAATGTAAGTTAGCCAATGTGGTCACTAGGCATAGACCAAAGTTTGGCACGTGATGGGGTCATACCTTCTCAAGAGGCAGAAGAAGGAAACGTCAGATCGGAAACTAACTTAGAGACTGAGGGAGAGGGAAGAGCCGTCGGGTCCTGGCGGCCCAGGCCTGCAGGTGTCTTGGCCCTGCGGGAGCTGCAGCCTGCCAGTCGTCGGTCAGTGGGTCAGTGTAAGCAGCCATCGGCGGGGGGCGGTAGCAGACCACCCAGGATGTGATGCGGCGCAGCAGTGTACACGGGTACCTCGGTACCTCAGGTGGGGCGTTTGCAGGGCCAAACGCAGGAGTCAGTGCCACCTCGTTCCTCATCATGTGACTACTGCGTACTGCAGCTGCCAGGGAACTCAGACGGTGGGTCCTCTGGCCAGTAACTCTTCTCCCATTCGAAAGCGGAAGTAGAGTTAGAAGGGTGCTCGGCGAGCTTGGAATGAGCACAGAGTCTATCATAGGATCAAAGTGTGCAGCCCCATCGCCCTGAAGCCTCACCTCGGTGAAACGGTGTACCCGTCTAAGACAGAGCCGCTGGTCCTGGAGCAGGCTTCTGTCCCCTGGACCGCACTCGGACGGGAAGAGCTGGCCAGGTGAAGCGCACATATTCCATTCGCGATGTCCTGATGGGTTCTGGGGGCTCTAGGAGTCTCAGGGAGCAGCCTCGCTTCTCTTATCTCTGGAGTGTTTGTGGGTGCCTCTCTGTAGCCCCCAAGCATTGACAGTAGTTCTCACCAGCTCTGTCCCCAGTGACGTAAAACAGTGAGGGAGGGAGACATCCCAGTGTCTTGGCCGGTGTTCTCACACCCCAGGTCTGCGCGGTGTCCCTTTGCCTCACACCCCCCAGAGGACATCTCCCAGCAACCCGGGGTGTGTCCTCACTGGGCGAGGTGGCAGAACCCCCGAGAGCCTCGTCGGAAGGAAGGCCATTTGACTGCACAGGGGCGGCCTGGTGGGCCTGGGACTCGGCGGCTGTCCGTCTGGAATCTCCCGTACCCACCCACCGTTTCCTTTTCGTTCCAGAGAAAGCTTACCAAGGAAGGAAAAGTGCGGTGGTGATGTTCGAGACCGTGGTCGGGCACTCCTTCAAGTGTGTGAGTGAGCAGAGCATCCAGCTGTCAGCCCACCTCCAGCTGAAGACCACCAATGTCCAGCTCCAGGCCTTTGACTTTGAAGAGGGTGGCTTCGGGAACGGTAGGTCAGGGCTCTGCGGGTCACGCATGTGAGCTCCAGAGACCCGGGGCTGGTTCCCAGCTGTTTTGTGCCTGACGCTGCTGGAGGGGCCGGAATCCTAAGGGCTTCCCAGAACCGAATGGCCCGGCAAAGCCCCTGGGGTGGTTTCTCTGGCCGGCCCTTTCACCCGTCTCCAAGTCAGACACCCCTACCCACCCAGGACCAAAACACGTCTCCCCACCGTTTCAATGCACGCTCAGGGAACACATCAGCCGAGAGCACCCGTGACCCCGGGCTGCTGCGGGCGCTGCAGAACCTGTCCGATCTCAGTCCGAACCCCTCCTCTCTGTCCCGAGCTCTTCCGCCCAGCAGTCTCCCCTCACACTTGGTTTGGGTTTCCTCCTAACTTCTGCTTAGAGTTTTAACCACCTCAGGGGGGAAAAAAAGATTTAGCTAGAAGTTCAACCTGTAGTATACTTCAATTTTGCTTTGAGTCCCATCATAACAACTGAGTATGTGTCTAGCTGAAAACCTGTTCCGACGTGCTCAGAGGAAAACACTCAGCAGAGGAAGGATTGCAGCCCCTGGTCCGTAGGTTTCCTCGGAGTCTTACAGGCTCTACTCTTGGTTTGACCTTGGCCACAATGCTGAGATCAAATATTCAAACCTGAGGCCCAGCAGGTGGCGTAGTGGCTTAAGGGGCTGGACTCCCACACAGCTGTTGGAGGCTCAAGTCCCAGACCAAGCAGCTTGAAGACCGCGTTGTGGTATAGCCATCCCCCCGGGGAATGATTTCTCACTTTCCCTCTTTCTGTCTCTCCTCAGCAAAATACTAAAAAATAATAATAATTTTTCTTTTATTAAAAAATAATTCTTTATTTTATCTTATTTATTCTTTTATTTTAATTTGATCAGAGAGAGACACACACAGAGAGAGAGGGAAAGTGAGAAAGCAAGCCACCAGGTCTGGGACTCGAATTGTGGTCAGCCATGTGAGAGTGCCCAGTGCCTTAACCACCACGCCACCTGCTGGTCCCCCCAAAATAATAATAATTTAAATCTGTTAGTAGATATTGCCCTCATTTGGTTGCCTGGTCTCAGAACTTTTAATATTGGAAGACTATTTCTTCTAAAATTCATCATGAGGTCTGAGAAACCTTTGTGTTTAATCATGTGATCTCAAACTAAGGTTCACGCTTGCTCATCCTCTTCGTCAGAGTCTCTGAAGCAGGAAGTAAAGAGGTGAGAACAAACCCTTTCGGCAGCCAAACCTGGTCTCACTCTAGAGTGCGAGGACATTTAGAAAAGCTCTCTTTATAGTAGTAGTATTTAGAGATGTTTGCTATAGGGCGCATGTAGTCACCAGAGAGACAGAGACAGAAAGTCAGAAAATGAGAAATCACCCCCCAAGGGGGATGGCCACGCCACAGTCCCTTCTCCTTCATTCTCCTGTCGGGACTTTGGGCACGCATGCGCACTTGCCTGGCGTGAGTTTTAAGCTGCCAGGTCCAGGACTTGAACCACAGTTGTTTACACGGGAGTCCAGCAATGTAATTTTTTTTTTTTAATTTGACCTGAGAGAGACACAGAGAGAAAGAGAGGAAAGTGAGAAAGGAAGCCACCAGGTCCACGACTCGAACGCTGGTTGGTCATATGGGAGTGTCCAGCGCCTTAACCGCCAAGCCACCTGCTGCCCCGCAGTGACCTAGTCTTTACGTCATCTGCGGCCCCAGAAAGCTCTCTTCTTTGCATTTGTCCTAAAATGGCCATTCATTGGCTACTTCCCCAGAAGGAGACGGCAGAGTACCCTTCCCTCCTCCCCTCCTTCACCTCTCGTCCACACAGGCCCAAAGCCCCATCAGCTCTACCTCCAAGATTTCTCTTGTTCATTCTGCTATGGCTGGG